AATGCATTTACATTTTTTTTCTTTTTTATTGATGAAAGCTAGAATACATTTGCAAATAATGATTTAGTAATATGAATGTTTTTTCAATGTTGAGTATCTTAAAATTTTTTTATCAATATTTTTCGACTTCGATAGTAGATCTAATTTTTATCACCGATATCATTGCATTTCTGCTTCAGAAAGGATGCCCGACAACTTTTCACTCTCAACCTCATTAAATAAATCCTGAAGTTTTTCTTTCTCGCCCTCAATAATTCGAGCTACACCCTTGATTGAAGGCGTGGCCATCCCCGAAACATCGGCGATCTTATCGATTAGCATATTACGTTTCAACATACCGGTGACAAAAAGGATGACAGCTGCGGCAACAGTATTTTGAGTTCTACCTGTCAGCAAACCCAGTTGTTCGATTCGTTGACTGACTTTTATGCATATGCCGGTAACATCTTGCGGAATGTTTAGTCTATTACAGAATCTTGCCATCAAGTCTTCGGAAGTCATCTGCTTTAAATTCAAGTCGAAAGTTGAAACCAGCATCTTGATTGCACGACTTAGATGACCTTTCGAGACCTGTGTGACGGCGATGATTTCCTTCAATGTTCTTCCAACGTTCATCGTTCGACATGCGAGGTAAATGCACGCCGCGTGGATGACAAGTTTGTTTTTTCCTCTCAACACTTTTTCTTCGGCGGAACGTTTGTACAGTTGCTTGGTTGTTTCAATGAGTTCTGGGGACAGATCCATGGCGTGACAAATGGTTTCGATCTCTTGAAGGGCATACTTTAGACAAGCAGTTTCTTTGTTGACAGTCGCCTTGAAATGAGCGCGACTGAGGGCGTTATTATCCGTATTTCCCTTCCACGAAATCACCGTATCCAAAGCCGAGGCGTCAGTGGGGTCGGATGCCGCACCGACACGTGAAGGGTCCTTTTCGTTTTCGTCACTGTTAAAGGTACGCCATTCAGATCTCATATCGATAATTCGACCGCCGAGAACAAGTCCACATTCACCACACACCATATCTCCACTTGCGTATTCTTCGATGATTTTAGGATTTGGATTCTTACAATCAGGACAGATCAATCTGATATTAAGATCCGGTTGAAATGGAGTTGGTGTTGCTTCGTTCAGGGTGGACGGGGATCTCGTCGGAAAAGGAACATTTGAACTCGATGACATGTTTTATGCTCGACTTCTGTGACGAATAGGAAGGTTAAGTTAAAATTGTCTTTGATCACAAAAGACAGGTATTTGAGCTTTAGAAGAATTACATTATTTTCAAAATATATATACTGTATATGGTTCGCGCAAAAAAAAAAAAAATAGTACAAAAGTAGTAATAATTTGATATCGCAGTATTTATTTGGGTTTACAATTATGGCAACAATTACCCTGACTCATACTTTTATGATGTCATTTGGCTACTATATGTACACAATAAAAAAAAAACTCGAAAAATTCTATTTCCATAACAGAACAAGATTGTTTTTCCAAAAAAATATCACGAGATGGTTATAATTTCTTAAGTAACGTAATTGAGGATATGGTTTTTTCATTAAGTCATCATTACAGGCAATACATTTCATTCTCCAACTAAGAACTATATGCATTAAATAAATAAGTTAAATTAAAAGTGAGGGTTATAAACGCTCAAATTATCTCATTGTCATTCTAATTCCTCGACGTACTCGCCGTGAGTATATCCACGCGTCTGGCTTAATTAACGCGTCGACCTGTCAATTTAGAGTAATATGATTTTTTCCTTTGAAGAATATCAACGCTGACACGAAATATAAGGACAATCTCATATTGTCATCGAGTGGGAAGGTACCCTAAATGAGTTCAAGTTGACTCAACGTCATTATCGAAATTTCCTCGGGGATCAGGTCTTTGTCGCTATCAACCAGGTCTAAATTTTCCAAGTCTCTCTCGATTTCCAACATGCTAAAAATTCTGCTGGTATAGAAGGCCTCGCTATTGATCACATATTCCTTGTTCAAATTTTTGCCGCCTCCCTTATCCAAGCGTTCGTTGTTATTTTCATTCCCATCACTATCATGTGGAAATTCCCACATATATGATTCATTGGCATAAAGACGAACAAGTTCGACGTCTTTCATGAAGGTCAAGGTGGTGGAAATTTCATTGATATTTGGCCTTTTCTTTGGGTCACTTTCCCAACATCTCCACATCAATTCGACATAAGATTCAGGTGCATTTTCCATAATTCCTGGCCTCCAACCGTCCCGAATCTTTTTCATCAATTTCACATCATGCGGAATGTCACTAAACGGCAAAGCTCCCGATGAAATTTCCCACATGATAATTCCAAAACTGTAAATATCACTCTCTTTGGAACACGTTCCATCCTTGAATAGCTCTGGTGCCATGTAGGGAATAACGCCATGTATTTTTTTGTCCTTATTCGAATGAACATAGTTTGCTGGCTTGCACATTCCCAAGTCTCCGATGACGATTTTCTCACTGACGGAACACGGTTCAAGCAGAAGATTTCCGGTGTGTAAATCTCGATGAACCCATCCTTCATCATGAATCCTTTCTAGTCCATTGGCAATGCTTTGGAGAAGTTCATATCTCTCCAACCAAGTAATTCGGTCAAATTTATTATGAATGTATTCTCGAAGATTTCCTTCCCTAGCATAATCACAGACCATAATGTATTCCTTAGATTTAGGATCCCGAGTTATCCCATAACATCTGAGGACAAAATTTTTGCTTTCACAGTGAAGATGCGCAATCAACTGTTGATGGAATATTTTTTAATGTAGCGACCAAAAAATCATTGCACAAGATTAATGAATCATGGAAACTCACCTCTTGAAAAAAACCCCAGTTGATATTTTGGGAATCTTTTAATTGCTTTAATGCCACATCAACATTATTTTTTCTGTCGTACGCTTGCTTCTGTTTATTCCATTTGACCATCGGCCCACTATTCCAAACAGCATGTAGCACTCGACTAAATCCACCCTGACCGACTTGTCGAGTGACTTCAAGATCGCTGAAAGGTATCCATTCCATGCATCCTTCGCGGGATGGTGCTAACATTTGTGTATATTGAATGAATTTGTCAATATATTTATTTCCACTCGTCCAGCTACCGAATTTATCACGCAATCTCAGCGTTTCGCAGGTGTTGCACCACCATGTAGGATTATGTTGATTAATGTTACAGTTGGAGCATGATACGATGTTTTGAACAGGCGCGCCGCTATCATTCCGAAATATAAGGGGTCCTTCGTAAGGGATGATGTATTTCTTGATGGGATCGTTACGAGGTTTTTGCTGATGCTTGGTTTGATTTTTAGGCTTACATTTAAACTCTGAGGTAAACGAATACTGTCGACTGCAATCGAATGCTCTCGTGTCGTATCCTTTAGATATTTCGGAATCAGTCATTGGGTAACTTCGCGCATTTTGAAATGAATCAAACAACGTGGTGTCTTCTTTCCCATCAGCACTAAACTCACAAGAAATTGTCGCGTGGAAATTTGGAACAATTTGATGATTTCTCCAGTATTTAAGTATGTTTGACACTTGCTTCATGGTTGGTCGTTCAGTCGGTTGTGCGTCCCAACACATCTTCATCAACTCTTCGAAGTAAATTGGAACTTCCTCTGGAATACTGGGTCTTAATCCATTCACAATTTGTTCGGCTAAGCTTTCGTCATGAGCCACATTCGAAAAAGGTAGGTTGAAGGTAGCCACTTCGTACATGACGAATGCAAAGCTGTAAACATTCGATTCCTTCCCATAGTCACTCGCATACGTTGATGGGTCAATATATGGCAATACCCCGAAAATTTCCGACAAGGAAGTGGACAACCCAACATCCGAAATAACAGGTGATTCGATGTTTTTTCCGATTAGTATATTGTTCGGGTGAAGATTCTTGTGCACAATCTGTTTATCGTGAAGTCCCGCTATTGCCTCGGCTAGATTGTGGAGAAAAGCTAATCTAAGAAACCATGGGAAGGATTGGTGATTCTCGGGTTTTCTCAGATAATCTCGTAAACTACCATTAGGGACGTAAGGCATGACCAAGTAAATTTGGTTTTCCTGATTCTGAGTAACCCCGTAGTAAGGAAGTAGGTTTCCTAATTCATATGGGCAATCTGCGCACGAGATCTAGGTGTACAAACGAAAAAAGAATAAAGTTGGGCACATAAAAATTCCAAGCACTGAGATTTTATCCCGAAGGACAACTTACTTCGTTCAAATAATCTTTGCAACAATTCGTGGTTCCGATATCCTTCAAGAAAACGCGAGTTGGATCGGCCCCAGAGATTTCTTTGAAACCAATCTTTGAGAATAAGGGTTCAGCTGTCAAATTTTTGCCAATATTCTCAACATTTTTAAATCCTGCTTTGTAATCTATGAAATCCAGCGTACAAAAAGGACAATGGACTCTGTCCTGTAATATCCTTAAATTAGCTTCTATAATTGGATTATCGGTTAACCATTTTTTTTGTTTATAAATATCCCTTTGACAATCCGGACACCATAATTTGGAGGTAAATGGACGGCTACAAACACATCTCCCGTAAGGTTCGTTATCAATATCATTTAAAGATAGATCTTGTTCTTCTTCAGAATCGATGAAGCCGTCGTCATCAAGTAATTCCATTTCTTCTTCGGATAAATCTGATTCATCATCTTGAATGTACAAATTAGTCGAGTCATTATTGCCGCTATTTTCAACTTTGGGAGAACTTGACAATATGTTTAATGTAAAGTCCGCGGAAGCGCTGGCAATTCGTTCCGTCAAGGACATGTTTGACATCTTTATTGAAATTCAGAAAAAAAAAAGTGATCGGTATCTACAAATATTTACAAGTTCAGGAATGTTCGTTTTTCCTTCCTTAAGAATGAAACGCTATCGTATTTATGTGTTTTTCGGATTTTTGGGTGACCAAACAAAATATCTATAACCGTTAAAAATCACGTCACTTTCATATCAGATCGTTTATGGAAACAAAGAGACCACCACATAATGGACTTTATCACTGTATTTGCTTAAATGAAGTCCGAAAGGTCCGAATATTTTTTAATTAAGGTTTGTGTAAACATTGATGATCAATGAATCGAGAAGAACGAGGTTATTCTTACGCATTGTTATTCTATATACGTATTTTGCGTATTTTGCGTGAAAAACAAAAGGGTACGAAGGCGTAGTAGTATTCGAGTATTTTGATCAGCTTCTAAACATCGAATTTATGAAGCATCTCACCTACTTCATTCATCCTCTTACGACATTACCGAATCTCTTTGCACATTAAATCGACGTAAATGGAAACAATATGGAAATACAGTAGATCCTCCTTGAAGCGGAGACAAATTTTAATGGGATCGTTGCGTGACACATGTGCGTGACGTAAAAATTTTCTTGAGAAACTCTGGGATTCCCTGTTCCTAACAAATTTATACCTTTGCACAGGTACGCAGGTACGCATAGATACAATGTCTATTGCCTAATTGAGAATATATAACCTTGAATTTAATATCCCATTGGTTGAAACCTCAATAAATATTATATACAAACAAATATGTAAGTCTTTTTATATTAATGCGGAATTAACCACTTTCTTTTCCCGTCACTAAATTTTCAACATACCCAATTCGCCTGTAGTTACCCGAGCAAAAAGATTTTGATAAGAATATGTCTGAGGTGCAAAGCGCAACCATGGAATACGGTCCCGAAATATTTGCCAATAATTTTTGGGTAGGCTTATGCTTGAAGCGGGCGAACTAGCATTTTAAGCTATGCTCCTTGAACTTTCATTGTGTCCATTTTTGATAGCTCAACAATAAATATGTTTTTATGCGTGCTAGGGTAAGGACGAAGCTGGGTATGAGGTTCTCACTGCGCGCCTAAAACAAGCAAAACGAACATGTGAGGAAATCAAGGCCATGTATCATGAAAGGTTTGAATTTATAATTATTGTCTCGATGACATCTTGCCACTTTTTTTAATGCGCACAACTCAATTTTCTACTGTGGATTTGCAGAGCAATGATAGAAGAAGAGTATGCAAAAAGATTATCAAGACTTTCCAAGTTTCCTCTGGGAAAAGATGAAACTGGGTAAACTGAAGTTTAATGTTAACTAATGTTAATTTATTCCTTTTGTCACTTTGTAATAATTAATCTTTGCACATATACATGTAAAAAGCGCGCTAAGGGATGCCCTAGAGGTGACAAGATTGGAAATGGAAGAAAGCGCAAAATCACACATGAACCTTTCACAAAAAATGAGAACCGGGCTTGAACAAAATTTGTCAGATTTCATTACAAAACAAAAAGAGAAGAGAAAATCGGTAAATTTACCTCTCTAGATGCATCAAAAATTACAAAACATACGCTGATTAAATTTTTTGTGATCTATAAATACGGATAAAGCAACAAGCAGTTGCGGAAAGGAGTCTCCGGAATAAGCAAGGACATGCTACACTAATGCAAAAGGTTAGATACAAAATTGAATTTGGTACCCTTATCTGTTAATATTTTTTTTTTTCACATGCTAAATGTATAAATAACACACAGGCAAAAGAAAAGTATGAGGCAGAGTGTATAAAAATAACAGGATTGTTATCATCTCGGGTTTCGGTAATAGGAAAGGAGTTGGAAAAGGTATTGATTCTTATTATTGATATAAATCATACTATTTTTACGCCTACGTTTAATTCACTCCATCATTTAGCTTAATATGAAGATCGAGAAAACTCAAATGTCTGCAAGAACTGCTGGTAAGTGTATTAATTTAGATCGCCATTGGAAAATAATATGTGTTATTAATCTTTACTTCTTCAAAAAGACCAGGAATATATGCAAATGGTCAAGACGTTGGCTGAAGCTACAGAAAAATGGAACTATGACTGGAGGGTGTCATGTGATGTAGATATCTTTATAAATTTCATTTTACATTTAGCGAGGCTTTGTGCCTATGTTTTGTTGACTTGATTAATTTTTTTTCGGAAACATTAGAAATTCCAAGATATAGAAGAAGAACGAATTGATTATTTGAAGAGATCTCTGTGGGATTATACAAACCATATATCTACTGTATGCGTAGCTGATGATGAGGTATGTTTTAATGAAACAATTCACTTTTTTGATAGGGATCTTTGAAATATTGAATCACTATCTTTATTCAATCTAGTCTTGTGAGCGAATCCGAGTTTCTTTGGAGAAATGTGACGTGAATGAAGAGATTTTTATCTTTATCAAAGAACGCGCAACTGGACCAGAAATCCCAGGTATGAGTAACATCACAGCATGATAAAGTGCTGTGTGAATATGTTCTAATGAATGATAGTAACATGATATTTAAACTCTCAATTCAGAACCACCGACGTACGTGAATTTTTATGCGGATCAAAAGGAAGGCGGCTCTCGTTTTAAGAGGGCCTCTTTTGATAAATTCACAACATATGCGGATCGCAGAATCGAAGAAACAGAATTAGAGGTTGCCCAGGATATAGCACCTAATCAACAACCGCCAGAAAACAACGGCATCAGATACCCTCACAGTACACATGCATTATATAATTATCTTCCCGAGGAAAGTATTTCGCATTATATTAATAAGATGTCTGAAAGGGCGTCATTGTATGCCAATACTTCATCAGCTTCGCGGCCTGGTACAATTAAGCAACATCACCCAAGAATAGCTGATGAGCCAATAGAAGAAGAACAGGGAGAACCTATTGACCCTCGGCAAAAACAGATGCTTTCTATTGGTTCTAATGTTCTGGAAGTACAAACAGGTGTTGAAAATACGAGCGATAGTGTGGAAGGTGCGGATAACACCATTGAAAAAGCTATCGATAAACTTGAAGAAGTGGCAATTCAAGAAACGGTGTCTCGAGAAGCAGTAGTTCAAGAAACGGTGTCTCGAGAAGCAGTAGTTCAAGAAACGGTGTCTCGAGAGGCAGTAGTTCAAGAAACGACCGTGTCACCTCCAATAAGCGACATAGCACACAACGAATCAGAACAAACAGCCAAGGTGACAAAGAACTCAGATAGTGATTCCGAGAAGTTAGATCCTCATTCATTGGTTAAACCTTTGCCAATGATACCTGACGAACAGAGTTCTCAACAGGTTGATTCATCTAATAATTTAAATCTTGAAGAATCGAAATCGGAACCGTTGCCTGTTCCTCAGCAGAACGTCCAACCAACAGAATCGAATTCGGTACAATTGCAACAAATATCTCAAGCTAATTCATCGTCCCCTGCTGTATTCCAACAAAGATTTGATCAACGTTCGGCATCGACTTATTCGTCATATCAACAATTGCCAGTTGCGCCTTCGGTAGTATCTTCTACCCAAAGTTTAAAACCACAGCCTGTAGAGGGCCCAGGAGACTTACGACGCCAGTCATCCACGGATAATGGCCCAGTATCATCGCAGCAACAACAAATTCAAGAAAATCTTGCGATGAGACAGAGTTCCATATCACTCAGACTACCGAATCCGCAAGGTCCCGGTGATTTAAGACGGACGTCAAGTAATTCTAGTGAACTGTCCCTGCGACAATTTCAACTAATGTCCACTCAATACAATTCACCAACTATTGTTGGACAGCAGGAACAAACCATTCCATTTTTAAATCAACAAAGAAATTCTCCAAATCCTCAACTAGGTTCACTAGCAAATATTAACAATTCGATTGGTATCAATCTTGACCCTGACGGTCGAGTAGTAAAAGATGTTCTTGCCGAAGAATACGTGGCCAATGATGGAAAACTTCCATCAATTAACTATAATCAGCCGCAACAACGTCCACCACCACCGAACAAACCAGTTTATAATAGTTATGTACCTTTACAAAATAATCCTACCAATTACCCGGTAGGACAGGTTCGACCCATCGGGCGGCCACCAATTATGGGCGGCTATACGACTTCTCCAATGAATGTCCCACCCCAATCATCTTTTCGTGGTGCACCAAATATAACAAGAAGTAACACTATTAACTCGGGAAATATGAGACCTCACAGTCCTTACTCTTTTGATCCACATAATCGACGAACTACCTTGCATGGACCAGTCAACCCTCAACAGTTTCCATCACAGCAACCTTCCGATTTCAAAAATCCGAATTTTTATACAAACCCAACGGTCCCACCTTCTGAATATCGCCCAATGCCAAATCTATACGCCTCAAATTCCATGCGAAATCCTCATACTACTAGAGAACAAAAAGTTCAGCGTACGGATGATGGAAGGGCCATTCGATTTTACGGTAAATATTTAACATATGTGAAATATTTTTTATTCCTCGTAACAATAAATAACTTTTTTGTTCATATTACAGTGAGAACTTTGTACGATTACGTGACTACACAGCCCGATGAAATTTCATTTACGGCAGGTGACATAATAGCCGTATTGAATACAAGTGCTGATGGCTGGTGGGAGGGAGAAATATTAGATGAAAGGAGAAAAGACAGGGGTATTTTTCCATGCAACTATACCGAGGTATTAAATGATTGGATTTCATAGATTCTTGTATATTGTATAACAACTTTTCCATAGTAATCTGTATAAAAGTGTAATAATTATTATTATCTTGCGTAGAGTAGGTGGTGAAGTAATTAGAAATTTTAAATAAGAAACCCAAAGATTAATGGCCTATTTATTATAAAAATAACATCAATTGTTCATTCTATCATATTACCAAAATCTGAATTTTTCCTGATCGCACAAAAATTGCTTCAAATATTTAAGGAACGATTTCGATTCCAACACTTTTTGAAGTTCCAATAATGGATTTACAAATATTTCTTAAATCGAAATCCGACATATTATCCTGCTGACTTTTAATCAAAGCGATCTCATAAACGTGTTTTAGACTAATTCTGCCAACGAATTCAATGCCCGGCTTGCTTGAACCTTTTTCAACCCCTGCAGCACGTTTCAAAAACCAAGAGACAGGTGGCAACCTTGTAATAAAAGTGAAGGAACGATCAGGATTGATTGTAATGATAGTCGGTATTGGTATATCGGCCTCATAATTCTTTGTACGTTCGTTGAATTGTTTGCAAAAATCAATGGCTTTCACACCGCGTTGACCTAATGTCGGTCCGATCGGTGGCGTAGGAGAAGCCTTACCGGCCGCCACAAGGCATCTTATCTTAACCGCTTGTTGAATTAGTTCTTTTTTTGACATTTTCGGTGGAACCTACACTCGAAAACGAGCGTGTTTCGAGAATATCAGAATCTAATTGGTCAATTTATTTTTTCGTCTACTAAATACGCGTTTAATTAATATACATGGCTTGTTTTTTTATTAAAAAAAGAAATTAATAAAATTTGTTTTGTTTTTACTATCTTGTTTTTTGATAAAATAAATAAAATGAAATGAAAAAATTTTTTTCTTATATATTCACAGCTTCAATTGCCAATTTCTAATTATTTTTTCTAAAACTATTCAATCCTTTCAATAACTAATCATATTATCAGTTTTGTATGATATAATTAAAAATATATAAAAAAGATATTTTAAAATTCTATATAATTTTTTAAAAAAATTTAAAATAACAAATATAAGTACTTGAAAAAAAAATTAAAAAAAAACATAAAGACAAAAAATTATTATTTTTTTTTTTTCAATTTAAATCTTTTAAAATAATATTTTTTTTAAATTACTTTTATAGAAATATCTTGTTATAAATTTTTTAAATAGGCTTTTTATATTTAGTTACAAAAATAAATAAATAAACTTTAAAAAAAAATAAATAAAAATTATTATTTGTTTTTTTAATATGATAGTTTACATAAATAACCAATATTCAATTAATTTTTATTAAGAATATATACAGTCAAAGCTGGCTACAGTAATATTGTTTAGAGTAACATTATAATAAAAATTGGATATAATAACAATTTTTTAAAATAAAAAATTCTTTTAAATAGTATGTTATAATGTTATAACATTGGATACAATAACAATTAGATATAGTAATATAAAATTGTAAAATTAGACTTCCCCCGATTTGGTTACTATAATCAATGTTGATTGTATATATATTTAAAAATTAAAAATTAATTTTAATAATTTATTTAAATAATAAATATTTTTAAATTTTATTAATATTTTGAAATTAAAACTAATATTTTTTTGAGAAGATAAATTATATTAAATGTTGTCTTTATTGATATATATTAATATTAAGAATATATTAGAATATTATTTATATTATATATAACTTAGTATTAACAATTTACCTATTAATTTATGTTCAATAAAACAAGTTATACTCTTAAAGTAACTGACTTTATTGATCTCTTAGTTAGTCAACTCTATTAATAACAAGGGTAAAAAAAATCCTATCTTAAAAGTGAAAATTTTTTTGATAATTTTTATTTTTAGTTTAATAGTTTTACTTTTTTTTATTAAACTATTATTCAGATTATATCAATTTTTAACAAGTTATAAGACTATATAGATGCAAAATAATCTTTTTGAATGATTAATCCAAAATATCCTAATTATTTTTTTTTATATAATTTTGATTAACTAGAATTAATTCCTATATAAACAAATAAAATTGATTAATATAGAATACAGCTCAGTTTGTATATCCAAATTTTAACATGATATTTGTACAATATATAATGTTTAACTAAAATTAGATTAAAAGTTTTTTTTTTATACAATAAAATTATTTAATATTAAATAACAAAAATTATATACAGTCTAGTGCAAAAGTTCTTGAACTGATATTTTTTATAATTGCAATGCAACCACTGCGCCATATCACGTGAAATTTTTTTAATAGAAAGTTTAGGTTATTATGATTTTTTTAAAAAAAATCTAATACAAAATCTTATTATCATTTGATTCGATAATAAGCTCACATCTTTTTCTTATTGAATCCACTAAATTATTGAATACATCTTGAAGAATTTTTGCCCATTTCTTCTTCATAAATCATTTTAGCTCACAGGTATTATTTGGTTACCAAATCTCTATGTTCCTCTTAACAATTGTCCATAGATTTTCTATGGGGTTTAAATCAGGACTGTTCAATGGCCAGTCCATAATAATAAATATATTTTCTTCGAGAAAACACTTTGTCACCCAACTCGTATACTTCAGATCATTGTCCTATTGAAGGCATCAATGATCATTTAGCATGTTCTTGACCTGAGAAATATGTTTTTCTATAATGTCGATATACATTTCCTCAGTTATTATCTCACGAAAGCAATAAAGATCCATTTTACCCATAATGCAAAATTCTTCTCAAACATTAACTCTCGAACAGTCTTTTGGAATGTGATGTACTGGATGTTTGTCCTTGAACCAATACTGTATAGTATTGGAGAAGAGCCAAATGGATATTTCATCTGAAAAAAATATGTGACTCCAGTCATCGTCAATGTGGTTTTGAGTCTACTCTACTTACTTTTGCATCTACAATCTTGTCAGCATTGATATCACAATAGGAAGTTGCTTATAAAAATCATGGCTGCCTAAATGCCTCAAAAGTGTGCTATAGAATATACTTACCCCTTTGGAAAGCATTTCACCTACTAATTTCCTAGAAGAAATTGCTGGATTTCTCCTAACAATCTGACCGAACGATCTTAAGGTATCTGCATTAATTTTTTTTAGACAATCTGATCTTTTCCGGTGAGCCATGGTTATTCTTCTGCGAAACTTTGCCAGATTATAGAAAATAGTTGACCTGGGTATTTTTGTAATCCACTATATTTGGATAGCTTTCCTTATTCCTCACCTTCACAAACTTAATAGAATTTCGACAAACATGTTTTTTGCGATAGTTAACATCACTCTATAGCAAAAAAAAAAGGTATATATAAAAAGTTAGCAAAATTGTAACAGGTGATTGGTGAGACCAAATTATAAGCATATTGTAAGTTTTACTTAATTTGGATGTAAACTGGCGTAGATGTGCAACGTTAAAATTTGATAAGTCAGTTCAAAGACTTTTGCACCAGACTATATATGAATAATTATTTTTGAAGATAGTCAAAAATTTTTTAGGCCTAAAATAATAATCCTAAAATTATAATTTAAAAAAATATTTTTTATAAATGAAACATGTGCATGATGCATAATCTTTATTGATATATTTATATATCCAGACAGATATCAAATGTCTCTACAAATTAATTAGAAATTGGTTAATATATGAATATCCTTTATGTCTTTACAGTTAATCTGCAAATTAATATTGCCTAGTATATATATTATTATAAGACTAGTTACATTAACCACTATTACCCAATTATGTGTTCATTTAAATATCTTGGGAATGTGCTTATATATCAGACAAGACTTTTACAAAAGAGGGAATCCTATTATTAGTTTAAATCTATCTAAACCTATTAGTCCATTATTGCAGGAAACAAATTATTATAAAATATTATTACAAAGACTAACTTCAATATTCCAGTTACTATTATCACTGACTCTCGAGATGTGCCATTAGCATAGTGTCACATTATCATTTTCACTACCTGTGAAACTGGCATCCTTGCTTGAATTCTGATTTAATCTTGATAATCCTTACCAGACTTACTTAATTTTAATAATTTTTTATCTGGATTGTCATCACTTGTAACTAGGACTTTGAAAAGTATCGAACTGATATTGAACTGTTATTAAAATGGTACCAATCTATAATAAATTTAATATATGAGTTGTGACTTACTTATATGTTTTTATAGTAAATTTAAGTATTGAACTAGTATCAAAGTGGTATTGAAGTAATATTATTAGAAGCCCTACTTATAACAAATAACCTTTGCTCTTTTAGTCCATTTTAAGTTCAAAAGAACACTACCTTGAAATAGATTTTAAAGCTTTAAATTTGAATATATCAGCTTAGAATTAGTCTCTTTATGTTATATAATGAAGTCTGCTATTACCAGTTTGGATTAGAATTTTATAGGCTTATACCAGAATTAGATTAAAAGCCTTTTCTCATGCAACTTTTCTTGCTTTAACCTGTTTTCAACTTATGATCATCAGGAAGATCAGAGATCACATCTTCATACAACCTAACTAAATTTAGAAATTGATTTTCAGCTGATTGGGTACAACATGAATTGGAAACCAGTCAATTAATCGTGAAGATGATAAATTTTTATAACCAAATGAGTTTGAACCCTAGATTTTCTTCTGGTGACTTATAAAGCATTACCACTATGCTATAGACCCATGGGTTTTAATTATAATTTAAAATTATAACTTATAATTATAAATTTTTTTTTAACTCATAATCAGATTAGTATCATATATTTATTAAATTATAAAGAATTATTACACACATGAGAATACATACAAAATACAAATTTCCTCAATCCAGCTCACCTGTTTTAAGTTTAAGCCTCTAGATATGATTTATGGAAGTGATACATTGTTAGCCTAATGGTTAGGATTAAGATCCAGTTATACTATGAGAATTATAACCTGCAGATCATCTCTATAGTCACGACTATACATGTTTCCTTATTACCATAAAAGGAAATTTGATTGACAATATGATTCTGAATTAAATACGATTCCCAATTACTTACTAATTGTTACTTAGTAATACGAACATAATACAGTTTTT